TATATATACACACATACATACGTATATATATATATATATATTATATTATATATATTGTGTGTTACGTTGTAATCCAAACCCCGTTGAATGTCTTGCGGCCGGTCACGTGTGCCGCAATTCGATCCGTAACCTTGGACCCAATATTCGGATTCCTTAGCACACCACCCTGACACGGTTTCGGACTATGTCTAAGATCGGGATAGCGGTGCGGAGTTCGCCGTGGATTGAAATTAGCGCTTGGGGTGCCAAGTACAGGGTGGGGCCTTAGACCCCTCGACAATGAACATTGATTCCGCAACCAAATTCTGTCAGTTATATGAAGACGAAGTTTAGGGAACGACAGGACGGCGTTCAATGGAAGATGTCATATGCACATTCTCTGTCGAGTAACCCCCCCTCCGTGACCAAGGATGACAACGGGAGTCCGAATGCTACGAACCTCCTGAAATTGGTGTTATTGATCAGTCCTTTCCCGTTGTGTTCTTGTAATCGTCCGGTCCGTAGGCATCCCTTCTGATGCAGGGCGTTTGAGCTCTGCAGCAACTGTACACCGCGCACCAGGCAGTAAACTCAAGCAGGAGCGCCGAAGCCTTGTAAGACAAAATCCCTAAACCCAAACTTTCAACTCCATAAACCCCTATAAGCGGATCTTCGTAAGCTACGGGCTTGATGTATTCCCTTTGGTGCGACTAAAGCGGTTGAAGAAAGCTCCTGCTGTACAAGCGTGGCATCCACCCGCTTTAGAGATCGCGGCTTGGGGGCGTAAAGCTTGTACGCGACGCCAATAACCTAAACCCTAAACCCTAAACCCTAAACCCTAGACCCAAGAGGTTAAACACATGCACGACTTGTTGAGCCCCGCGCACTAAAACCATCAGCCCTAACACCCCTCACCCAGCCCCTATACGCCTGAACCCTAAACCCTACACCATAAACCCTTACCCTCAACACCCTAAAGCCTAAACTCTAAACCCCAAACCCCAAAAAACCCTAAACCCCTAAACCCCTAAACCCCTAAACCCTCAAAGCCTTAAGCCCTAAGATTTGCGGAGGACATTCTCGCGTGTCCCTCTATCAGAGTATCGGCTTTTGGGTCTTCTGCTTCTTCCTGCGTGCCCTGGCGAGAAGGGTTTAGAGTTTTGGAGTTTGGGGTTTAGGGTTTAGGGTTTAGAGTTTAGGTTTTAGAGTTTGGGTTTTAGGGTTTAGGGTTTAGAGTTTGGGTTTTGGGGTTTGGGGTTTCGGGTTTAAAGTTTAGAGTTTGGGGTTTGGGGTTTAGGGTTTAAAGGTTCAGGCCAACTTCGGGGGTTTAGGGGCTAGGGTTTAGGCCAAAGTGTCTCGAGGTCTACGAGGCCTTGTGATTCGAATGCCAGAATCCTAAAGCTTGCAAAAACTTTTAGAGAGAGAGGCCTTACATGATCTAACATTGGGTATGGAAGCTCGGATAGATGAGGGATCCAGGTGAAACTTTCAGGGTTTAGGGTTTAGGGTGTGTAGCGGCAGTGGTTTTTCAGGTTATTCCCGTCTCAGACATTCGCATAGCACAGATTCAACCATCTAGGTGGCACTTTGGGAGGTTGCTTAGATTGCCCTTGCCGTCCTGGTGGGCAGTGGGCAGTCATTCATGAATACTTCCGGGGCCCTTGAAGTACAACCCAATAGTTAGAGCATGTAAGGTGCACGAATACCAGGATCTCAGGGTGAACCGCACTAAACCCTAAACCCTAAACCCTAACCCCCAAACCCCTAAACCCTCAAACCCTAAACCCCTAAACCCCTAAACCCCAAAGAACGCGAACCCGAAGCCCCAAATTAGCCGCCCTGAACCGTAGAGCCCGACATGCCAAGCCAGAACCTCAGGGCCTCGGTCCTTCCCATGCTTTGAGAGACTCAATGCTGCGAAGCTTCCCAGAGACTCCAATATCACTTAATTTAGGAATATACCTTAAATCATATAGGGATCCTACTATAATTTATGGTATATCCCTTAATTAAGGAATATACCTTAAACCATATTAGGCATCCTACTATAATTTAAGGTATATTCCTTAATTAAGGGATATTGGAGTCTCTGGGTTCCACCTTTCGACCTCAAGGAGCCTCTATGGTATTGATCCGACATTCTACAGTCTGGCGAGATAGAGTTAACAACATGTCTCGGTCGATTTGGGATTCGAGTCTGTGGGACTTTTGAGGTTAGGTTATGGGTTTCAGAGCTTCCCCAAACACAGCCATGCTGCAGTTCTCAACAGCTTGTACCCGGCCGTGCTCATCGTCTTTCGCGACTGGGCCTGGCAAGGTGTGGGGTTTTGTTTGGATTGGAATCGCGGGTTTTGCTTTGCAGGAAGGCCTTACCACACCCAGGTTTGATCCCATCTGGAGGATTAGCTGTGACGAGTGGCATTCCAGGATTGCCCGATGTCATCAAGTGTTCTAAAAAAGGCGCTGGACTAAGCAAGCATGCCTATACGTACTATAATTAGAAGGCGCACGTGCCCAAAACTGTTCCCCTACTTACTAAGCTTCCTGATCGTCTGGGCACCGTCCCAGTCGTAAGTCACACTCCGTAAACCTATGCAACTACAGCAGCGCCATACGGAAAATACTTCGCCTCCTTGCCCAGCGAACTACACCCTAAACCCCCTAAGCCCTAAACCCTCAACCCTAAACTAAGGCGAGCGCTACTGGGCTCGCTTCTCGGGAGCAGCGCTGGATGCAGCGATCCACTTGGCTTACATCCTCACATACCTGTGCATGAGTGCCCAGGCTCTCAGAACGTTTCTGGTGGAGTCTTCTTCCTGCAGCTCTATTCCTAAAAACTTAGCCGATGAGCCAGCTGGTTCCACATTCCTGGGCTTGGTCTAGGGTTTAGGGTTTAGGGTTTGGGGTGGTCAGCCGAGGGTCCTAGATGGCTGCCTTAGTAAAGTCTATGGACAACAGACTGTGCCCTCAATGGCGATAGCCCTTACCCTATGAAACAAATTGAAGACCCTGAACTAATTCTTCCGAACCCCTGAAAGGTGCGGCAAGTCTCAGGGTTTTAGACTGAACGTAGGATCTCCAGTAGAGGTAGCCCAGGGACGCGGAGGCCCACGGCAAACCAGAAGGATCAGGCGACTTAGCAAGTATGGTCGTTTAGGGTTTAGGGTTTAGGGTTACGGTTTAGGGTTTAGGGTTTAGGGTTTAGGGTTAGGGTCAGAGGAATCATACGCGAAGCTTTCTTGGTTGCATTGCGACTTACTACATTCCCGGATCCCGGAAGCGGATGTAAGTTCCGAGGCATCATCTCCCTGCGCTACATGCACTTTGAGGCTGCCGGGCTTCTTTCAGCCGGGAGTGATGCGTTTGTGTCCTTTTACATGGGGGGGGCTTAGGGGTTCAGGGTTTCAGTGTTTTAGAGTTTTTGCTGCTGCTAGCTGTGAATTGGTCGGCGTCTCCGTATAGCTGTGTGGTAGTTGCTCTTTGTTGAGTGGTGTGGGCTTGGGACCGTCGTCAGCATGAGCTCACAACTCTTGCTCTTGACCCGTCCGTCTGAGCTGCAACCCGAACCAACCGCTGAACCTCTAAAGCCTAAACCCACAACCCTCAACCTTAAACCCTAAACCCAAAGTCTTGCAGAGTCCTTGTAGAACCCGTGAAGGGAATCCTGTTGCAGAACCCTACAGTACTCTTGGAGGGAGCCCTAAACCCTAAACCTCAACTCGAAGCTATGGGCGGGCATGAAACCTGCGGTCATGCGGAGAAAGGGCCGCTGCAGCTTAGGATGCATGGACTCCAAAGCCCCCAAAAGCCCTCCCAAAGCCAATTAAAGCCGCAACTCCAGATTTCTTCCCCCTAAACCCTAAACCCTAAACCCTAAACCCTAAACCCTAAGGGTAGGGATTTCGGGTCCGGTTGAAGGTTTTCCCTGGTGAACTTGGGGTCTCGGTTTCTTGACTATACTACTATCTATTTTTACAATTACTTAAAACATGTATATATATATATATACACTTATTTGTCCATTTATTTATATACAAAACATGTATATCTATTCATCTATTCGTTGATTTATATTTAGAACTGATTCTTATTAACTGTAAAGAAGTTTTAGGGTTTAGGGGCTAGGGGTTTAGGGCGTAGGGTTTAGGATTTTAGGGGTTTAGGGGTTTAGGGTTTAGGGGTTTTGGACCCCTTGAAGGGGACCCTTCTTGACCCTTCGGAGCTTATCGTGAGGGTCCATAACGAGGGTCCCCGGAATCCGGGTTTAGGGTTTAGGGTTTAGGGTTTAGGGTTTAGGGTAAGCCCTATCTATGACTTGAATCCTGGCATCCCCTTACCAAGTCTCTACATTCGGGGCCAGTCTCCGAATCCTAAGCCCAGGCCCTACACCCTGAACCCCAAACCCGAAACCCGAAACCCTAAACCATGCGAGAGGAAAAAACCCTGAAACCCTGACCCGCATGAAGGACACCATCACTGGCAACTTCGGCACTGCCCACCACCTGACGTACTCCAACGAGTTCGGAGCCGAGCTCCACAGGGGCAGATGGGGCTGTGCACGTTTAGGGTTCAGGGTTTAGGGTTTAGGGTTTAGGGAATACATAGAATTTTTTTCACTATAGGGGTCAGAATAAATAGTACTGTAGGGGTCAGAATAAATAGTAGTTATAAGGTCCCCTTCAAAGACGCCCTTTTCTAGGGCTCCTTCAGCGTTTTGGGCTTATCCCCTTTGAGCGGCTCCTCGCCTCCACTGTTGCTTGATAACGGGTTCTGGGCTCAGGCTTGTTTGGGATTGATGTCTCTGTGCCTTGTGAAGCGAGCATGGATACCGGGCGGCGGTGAACGCCCCAGGTCTATAGTGATAGGGTTTAGGGTTTAGGGTTCAGGGTTTAGGGTTCATGGTTTAGGGTTTAGGGTTTAACGGTTCAGGGTTTAGGGTTTAGGGTTTGTTTACTTTAGAATGGGCTTGGGTTTTCAGCATCGGGAAGTAGATTTCGGGATCAAGGCTTTGGGTTGCAGTTCCAGCTCTTTACCTATTTGTCTGGCCCCAACATAAACCCTCATATAGGGTTTTGCAGGAACCCAGCAGCAGAAAAGTAGGTTCTGGTTGGTTTAGGTAGGGTTCGCTTGTAGGTGGCTTTACAGGTTTGTATGGGGTGTGTATAGAGTTTTCGCAAGCGGTTTTCTGCAGGGTTTCAAGGTCCACTTAAAGGATCGAAAGGGGACTTCGTAAGTAGGTTCCATAATAGGGGCCACTACCCCTAATTCCCTAAATCTCTGAACCGCTTCTCCGAAAGCCCTAAAGGCCAAGCCCAAGCTTTAGACCCGGGAAGTCGTGTTCACCGGATGCCACCGAACATGCAAAGCCCGACATGTATAACGCCCCTGGTCAGCTCTTATGAAACACTGCACAACTTGTTTGAACGCCTCATGGAAGCTTGGGTACACCACAAAAAACCCCTACGCCCTTCACGCGTTCAAGAAATAGCGGTAATTTGAAAACGCTAAACCCTAAACCCATAAACCCCTAAACCTTGGAGTCCGAGGCTGAATCCGGTATTCCTGTTCCCCACGAACTTCCTCGGCAGCTTGGCCTGTGGAGCGACTTCAGGGCGGAGGGGAGGTGTAGGAGCAGAGGGAGGTTTTGGCAGGGAGCAAGACGGAGAGAGAGAGAGAGAGCGAGAGAGAGAGAGAGGGAGAGAGAGGGAGACAGAGACGGGTGCGGATGCCTCTGTGATGCAGCAGGGAGCAATATAGGGGCCTTAAAAATTACCTATACTATTTTGGGGGGTTCCTTATTGTAATTATACTATAATCGGCCCCAAAACCCTATTCTAATTGTTAAGGCCCCTACATTAAGAGGATGGGGGGAGCGAGTGAGCAGAAAACCCCATGCAAGCACTAAGCCCCAAAGCCTTCGGCACTGCTGCCCTGAGAAACCAGCGAGTCCCTTCATTTAATATAGGGGTGGTTGTCAAAATTGTGGTCCAATTTTGGGTCCTTATTATAATACGGCACCTATTATTTAGGGTACCCCAAAAGGGACCATAATTTTGACAACTACCCATAGGGACAGAAATAATTACCTATATTATTTTGGGGGGTTCCTTCTTATCAATACAGTATATTGGGCCCCAAAATCCTATCCTAATTATTACGGCCCTATATTACCGGGCTTCAAGCCCTGGCGCCAAAAAGGTTGGGGTTTAGGGTTTAGGGGATGAGGGGTTCAGGGATGATGTCTAGATTCGGGTGAAGGCTTTGGGCCTCTCGGTAGTTGCCGGACACCTGGGTTCCCCAAGCCAAAACTCCGAGCCTTGAGGTGTGAGTACTTCTCGGTAGGTAGACTTCGGGTAGGTACCCTAAACCCTGAACCCTAAACCCTAAACCCTAAACCAATCGAGGCTATCCCATCCGGTGCCTTAAGACTCAAGAAGTAGGGCGCTTCACTTACCCACGGAGCTGCAAGTGTTGTCGCAAGGACTCGTACCGCCTCGGCGGGCCCTAACCCAAAGATCCTTTGAAGTTTAATTAAGTACCTTCCCCTAACCCCCCAGTTGCCTACTATATAGGGTACTAGAGCCCCTGAGGCCCTATATAGTAGGTAATTGGGTGGTTCGGGTTCTACCCCTGAGGGAGAACAGTGTAGGGTTTATGTTGGTTTCAGGGCCTTCATGGTTCAGGCACAAGATCTGCACCCAGGCTACCTCTCCGTGTACATCTCCCTGGTGCACATTTGCTGCGTGTGCCGCGCGCTGGAGGATGCCGCTGCCAAATTCATCATGTGGCCGGGCCACACAAATCTTTACAATCCATACGCGCTTCAACAAATCAGTGGGTAGTGTGCGCTGTGTATGGACGGCTAAGATTTGCATCATCTAGCCGGATTAGCCCACAAGAAGGTCATGCAGTGTGAGAATGGATCAGAACGCGAACCTCCGAACCGAATATTGGGGCCTTAATGATTAGAACATGGTTTTGGGGCCCATTATACTAGATTTATACTAGGGACACCCCAAAATAGTATAGGTAATTCTTTATAGGCCCCTACATTACAGAATACACGCATGTTTCAAGAAGACTGGTGCTGTGTACTGCCCCCACGGACCAGGGTTTAGGGTTTAGGGCCCTGAACCTGTATAAACGCTGGGCTCCAGATTCTTGATCTTCAGTCTCCGCGAGCAGACCCTAAACCTAGAACGGAGGACGCAAGTGTTAAAGGTACCTGCAGAGAACGTTAATCCGAAACGCCGGAATCCTTGCAGCTTGCAATGCTTGAATACACGTTGCGTGCCCCAAAGCAAGAAACACGACCTAATTGACAGAACTACCCAAATACACCCTGATGTGGAGCAAGCCCTAAACCCGGCAGGACCCCTCTTCCCACTGAAACAGCCCCTAAACCCTAAACCCTAAAGCCTGAAATTGCCGGCCTTGCGCGAGCGTGAGAGCCGCAACCCTAAGCCCTAAACCATTCAGTATTTAAAATATCAGTATCACGCCGACCTGCGACTATGGAACGTCGCCTGGCTTGCCCGAGTTGTGAGAGCGTAAACGAGTATTCGCTACAAAGAAAGCCTTTCAGACAAGGTAGGACCTCGGATCCCACTGCTGTCTGCACATCTAGGTCCCGCAATCATGAACCACCACGCTCCTGGTGCCTAAATCCTTGTACACTCTAAAGCCCTGCAGCCCGAAGCCCTGCACCCCTCAAAGCGTGCACTCGTAAGCAAGCCGGTTTCGAATGTCGATTTCGGTGGATGTGCACCTGCTGAGTGGAAAGTCGGCAAGCCTTAAAGTGGAGACGGATGCCTCCGTGGAATCGCTGAAGAGGTTGGCCCAGAGTGCTCTCGAAGCTGGTAAAGGTAGACTGTTAAGGTCTTCTGGGGAGGTGCTTGACGGAGCGTCAAGTATCCAAGGAGCAGGACTGCGCGACGGAGATGTGCTAACCCTGCATGTGAAGCAGGTCGCGCTGGCAGGCGCACCACGGTACAGCAGCAGCTCAGCGCTCGCCGCAATCTTGGGCGATGGATCTGTGGTCACCTGGGGATTTGCTGGCCTTGGTGGCGACAGCACTGCCGTACAGGAGCAGCTGACGAATGTGCAACAGATCCAAGCTTCCCTCGGTGCATTTGCTGCAATCCTGGGCGATGGATCTGTGGTCACCTGGGGTGATGTTTGCTGGGGTGGGGACAGCAGTGCCGCACAGGAGCAGCTGAAGACTGTGCAACAGATCCAAGCTTCCTTTGGTGCATTTGCTGCAATCCTGGGTGATGGATCTGTGGTCACCTGGGGCGCTGCGGACGGCGGTGGCTACAGCAGCGCCGTACAGGCGCAGCTGAAGGACGTGCAGCACATCCAAGCTTCCCGGAGCGCCTTTGCCGCAATCCGGCGCGATGGATCTGTTGTTACCTGGGGTGATGCCGAATGTGGTGGCGACAGCAGTGCCGTACAGGAGCAGCTGAATAATGTGCAACAGATCCAAGCTTCGCTTGGTGCATTTGCTGCCATCCTGGGCAATGGATCTGTGGTCACCTGGGGATTTGCTGGCCTTGGTGGCGACAGCACTGCCGTACAGGAGCAGCTGACGAATGTGCAACAGATCCAAGCTTCCCACGGTGCATTTGCTGCAATCCTGGGCGATGGATCTGTGGTCACCTGGGGTGATGTTTACTGGGGTGGCGACAGCAGTGCCGTAAAATGGCATCTGAAGACTGTGCAACAGATCCAAGCTTCCGACACTGCGTTTGCAGCCATCCTGCTCGATGGATCTGTGGTCACCTGGGGTGATTACTTAGGTGGTGGTGACAGCAGAGCCGTACAGGAGCAGCTGAAGAATGTGCAACAGATCCAAGCTTCCTTTGGTGCATTTGCCGCAATCCTGGGCGATGGATCTGTGGTCACCTGGGGTGATTTTGGCCTTGGTGGCGACAGCAGTGCTGTTCAGGAGCTGCTGAAGAATGTGCAGCAGATCCAGGCTTCCCGGAGCGCCTTTGCCGCAATCCGGCGCGATGGATCTGTGGTCGCCTGGGGTAGTGCGGCAGAAGGTGGCGACAGCAGTGCCGTGCAGGAGCAGCTGACAAGTGTCAAACAAATCCAAGCTTCGCTTGGTGCATTTGCTGCAATCCTGTACGATGAATCTGTGGTCATCTGGGGTGACAGGGGCAAGGGCAAAGGTCGAGGCAAGAAAAAGGGCAACGGCAAGGGCAAGGGCAAGGATAAGGGCAAGGATAAGGGCAAGGGCAAGGACAAGGGCAAGGATAAGGGCAAGGGCAACGACAAGGGCAGGGATAAGGGCAAGGACAAGGGCAAAGATAAGGGCAAGGGCAACGACAAGGGCAAGGATAAGGGCAAGGGCAAGGACAAGGGCAAGGAGAAGAGCAAAGGCAAGGAGTACGAGAGCGGCTGAAGAACGCGGGCGGTAGATCGAAGCTTCCAATCTGGCAAACTGCAATATTGGGTGACGGATTGTGGTCACCTGGGCTGCGTGCTGTGCAGCAGAAAACAGCCGGGTCTATACTCGTGACTCCTAAGCCCTGGTTTCTGTCTCCCATGCCTGGTTCCGAAGCCATCATCTTAAACCCCAAATCCTAAAGCGGGTATATTATACTATAGTTATAATAAGGAACCCTCAAAACCCTATTCTATTCTTTAAGGCCCCTACATTAAACATCATATTCAGGGCGGTTCTGGCTTGTCTTTGCCAAGTAGAGCAGGCGTGCTGCCGTACGCGAGCTTTGTAAATGCCGTTAAGGCTTCAGAGCTTGCCGCCTCAAGCTCAACCGTGACGCTTCTAGGTCTGAACAACCTCAGCCCTACCGCGGCCTCAAAAAGCTGCTGCCTTTTGTAAGGAATGGTCTTGGGTTCAGGGCCTCGTCCTGTCCCCTGGACCCTAAACACCCCCTTACTTAAGGGATCAGCGGACTTAGTAAGTATCTGCAGGATTAAAACTAGGGTTTCTACATGTACAGGTATTTCTAACCCGAGTTGAGGTACTTGTAACACTGCATACAACTACCCATGAGCCTATGGCCTAAACCCTAACCCTAAACCCTAAACCATAAACCCTAAACCCTAAACCCTAAACCCGAAAGCCCTACAAACCCTAAACCCCTAAAC